TCCGCTGAGGAGTAGGGCTGCGCAGCTGCGCATTCCGGGTTCCTGCCGCGCTGGCCCGAAGACTTGGCTGTGCGAGGGGCACCGTGTGGCTGCAGTCACTCTGCTTGGCAAGGCCATTTTGAGTTTCTCCAACCCCGGACGTGCCACCCCGCCTGTTTCCAGGACCCGATGATCCGAGTCGCGGACGTCAGGAAGGCGCGCAAGGGGCTTGGACTTCCGAGGGAGCTATAAGGTTGTGCCACAGGTTAGCCCATATTTAAGGTTGTGGTTTGCATATCCATCTTCAGTCGCATATCTTGGCACATAGGACCGCTGTTGCTCAATGCCCTGTGTTTTTTCGACCCCCGAGGTTGGTTCTGTTGACCTCCAAGGTTGTTTTTGTTGACCCTTAAAAGGTTGTTTTGTTGACCAACGAGGTTGCTTTCCCCCCTCGCCTCTTGTTTTCTCGGCCCCCTTTTTCGGATTCTGATCATTTGCAAAGCCGGACTCGCGACGTCTGCTCTGGGCCAAGCCTGGATCATTGTGGTGGTGGGCAATGGTGGGAAATCGTGGGAATGGCGTGTTATGGTGGGAATGGTGGGTAATGGTGGGCGATGGCGCGTAGTTTGGCTGATGATGGGCAACGGTGGGAATGGTGGGTAACGGTTGGTCATGGTGGGCAATGGTCGGTCATCGGTAATGGTGGGAATGGTGGGCGCTCGGGCGGGTTGCGCTGGGAATGGTGCGTAAATGGCGCGTAAGGGGGAAAGTAAATGGTGGGGAAAATCGTCGGTAATGCTGGGGAGAAGGGGTGTTGGTCGTGGTGCGTGAAGGTGGGAAATCAATGGTGGGCATGGTGGGAAGGGGTTGGTGATGGTGGCAAGGGCGGGTAGTGGGTAGTGGTGCTGCAGCGAACCTCCAATTACGAAAGAACATGGCATCAACGCAAGCACCACAGCGGTATACGAGACTGTGCCGACAAGACAGTATTTCAGGCTGAACGCGGCGACTACGAAGTGCTCCCGGCGTTATATAGTCATAGTCACGCGTAGTCTTACGGCGAGTCTTGACAGCCGCCGCCTCACAACCGAAAACCCAACAGTTTAACGTGATCGAAGGAGCCTGTGACTGCTTTTTTCGGCCTACCCTCTGAAAGAAAAAGCTCCTGCAGTCCGGCTTCACCGGTGCGCTGGTGCCAGGGTGTACCGTCTAGGCCGGGCCTGCTCTCAAAAATCAGCAGCCTGCAGCAAGCGGCATTTGCTGTCAAGCAGCTTCAAGACGGATCTCTGCCGGAAACTCTAGACTCCAGACTCCAGACATGCAGCGAGGCCTACCTACGCTCACGTGCAGATGGCACGATTCTTCGCCTTCCAGAACAGGTACAGTGCGGACACGGCGAGCAACGCCGACACGATGAAAAAGGCAACCGAGGCCACGATCCTCCCAACCGGGCGGGGAGGGAGGGAGTAAACGAAACCCATGTCGGAAGTGATATAAATAGCAACGAATGCAACCAGCATCCCAGCTGCTGGCAACAACACCGCAAGGCTGAGCAGAAAATCGGTCAGGCAATGCGGTTGCCTCATGCGGAGTTTGTAGGCCAAAGCCGCGCCAAGCAAAACGAGGCAAGGTATCGCCATTAGCCACCATGACAGCGCGTCAACCACAATACACAATCCAGAGCTTACATCATCGGCCACGAGGAGGGTGGCCACTCGATCCAAGAACAGCCACATCACAGGACTAGAGGCCATGACGATTTGCCGGTACAGATAAAAAGGGCTGGTGAGCTCTCGAAGCAGTGTTGTCCTGACATGTCCCCGCACCAAGTGCTCGAAGTCAGTCGCGCTTCCAAACCAGATTCCGATGCATTTCATCATGATGTCACGGTCGCAAGGAATGCGCTCGCCGGTCTTATCGTCCACGTGGTTCACGGTGCAGCAATAGCACTTCGCATCGTTGACTTGGAACTTGCCGAGTTGCTGCTGTAGGGTGTCCAGGCTGCAACAGAAGCGGCGGCCAACGTAGACAAGACAAAGGAAACACGGCAGGAGGCCTGCCGATATCGTCAATCCCATGATCGCACCGAGCAGGATCGCATCGCTGCTCGCAAACACTTGCAACAAGTTCGGCCATGCAACAAGTAACACGATCAGGCCGGCCTTTCCGATCAGCAAAACCGGTCCCATGAGGTTTGGTCGAATACTCAGATGCTGGCTTATCGTAGCTTCTTTCGGTCGGCTGCGAAGAAACGATGCTAGCTCGAACACGCACCAGAATCTCCTTGGCTGGTTTGGTATTGGTATTGGTATTGCTTCGACGTCAACCTGCTGCGCAAAGGGTAGTTAAGACGCCTCACGGGCGGCCTCAGTATTACCAACAAAGTAGAAACCCAAAACAGTCAACATCCCATCGCCCAACCCGAAGAGTGCCAAGTCTCTGTACCCAACTCGGGTCCCACAACACAAGCATTGATGCTGAGCTCTTCAAGATTGCGCCGATGCTGAGCATAGCCTCGCTCTTCAAGCCTTCGTCCTCTTGGTTTATGCAGAGAACATCCAAGAACACAAGCTTCCTCACCGGCCAGAACATGAAGGACAAACAGTAGAAGGTCACCCCAAGCAAAACACTCCACTGCGACTTGCAGAAACCGTTGTCAACGGTGGCAGGCAAAACCCCCACGGCGTGTAGGACGCAGCCCAGGGCGGCACCCACCATACCGAAGGCAGCCGCGATGACACCACAGTTCAAATACCACGCCGTGACAAACTTCATCCAAGCAGATGTGTGCCAGCTGTGGGACCAAAACTCGTCGATGTCTGCTGTGGCACAGCTGAATTTGTACAGTCCACGCTGCTTCCCACGCATCGCCTGCCCACATCCCCGCAAAGCGCAGTGCACAGGGACGCCTCGAATGATTTCTGGCCTGGTGGGCTCCATGCTGGCTACCATGTGCACGATCCAGTCGTCGCCGGGCGCATCAGGCAGAACTTCTTGCTCATAGTCAGACAAATCGACAACTTGCCCGAGAGTTTGCGGGGCAAGCTCAGGCGATACTGCCATGGCACATGCGCGAGACTAGGAGATTGATTGAAGCGAACGCGTGAGTCACTAAGTCCCCACCTCATGCCCTGAACTCCACACTCGGATCGATGATCAAATTGCGGTCAAAGCCTGAATGCTTTGATCTCTGAACCCTTATCTAGCCACCCAAGACCCCTAAATGAGCCGGGAACAAAGGCTACGATGTGGAAATGGTCGCTGGGGCCGGGAGCTGACTGATGGATACTCTCTCGGTCACCATGGCCAGTGTGGCGCACCAAGTACAACAGGAATGATAAATGCATGTTCAAAGTTCAAACGCTCCAAGGGATTACGGCATACGCCTCTTCCTGGCAGGAAGGGTTATAGGCTAACCTCGGAAAGACAATAACACCAAGCTGCGTGCAGGAGCTGAACTTTGAGATTCTCTGGAAGTCATGGGCGCGGACATTTCTGTCATTCCAGCGGAAACGTTGGTCTCTTCGCACTCGAAACCCTGGGTTGAACTATGAAAAAAACCCCATGCGGCGATGACGTGTTTGCCACTCGCTGCTCAAATTTCGAAAGGTTTTGGCACGCGCTCTCTCCCACCTGTCCACAGCGCTCCGAAGGGTTCTGGGGCGGCGAGTTTGGATGGGCTTGCGTGAGTGCTAAACGTCGGCACATCCTGCCGAAGTGATCCAAGCAGCCTTCCGACAGGAAAATTACATTCTCCCACCGTGGGAGGGGAAGGGAAGGGAAGGGAGGGGAAGGGAGGGAGGGGAGCATGCTTGAGGCCCAATGTTGAACAAGCCGTGCCAGCTTGATGGTGCAAGCAGCAGCTGAAACTTGCACAACAAATTCGCACAACAGATATGTAGCAGCAAGGTACTTCGTGCTCTTGTTGTTGAGTAATAAGGCATGCGCAATTGTATTTGTTTGTCTGGTTGTTGTTTCTGCCCGTAACTTTTATTCTTCTTCTTATTTGTTCTTATTGTTAATTGTTAGTGCAAGTGCCGGTGCTAGTGCAAGCGCTAGTGTTCGTGTTAGTGCTAGTGCGTGTGTTAGTGTTAGGCAAGACTGAATGTTCAAGAATCATGGCGAAATCCGAGACCTCCACTGCATCATGACGTCACCAATGTGGCCCTGCAGGAGACGAAGTGCTCGGGATAAGGGATCAGTTTGCAACGCAGGAAAGCATCAATGCAAGGCCGTTTCGGTCAAACTTCTGGATGTTCCAACTTAGGAGACTTTTGAAGGCTTCGAGGTCTTCGAAGGCAACAGCGTCGAAAGGTTCGAGGCTAATGCCTGAAAGCGGGACGTTCCATCAAAGGCGAGGCTCACCCGCTTGCTTTAGCGAAGGTGTGCCTCAATTGCATGCGACTCCTAGTAAAGGCTCGCTTGGTAGAGGCCTTGCAGGTCATCCTGCCATCAAGACGATTTCTTTCCAAAAACATATGAACCCTTTGCATTCTGTGAGCAAGTGTTTTGCAAATGGACCGCCTCCCCCAAACCTCCTGCACGTTGTGTATAAGGCCATTAGATTCAGACACGGCCGTCGATAATGTTAACCCTGGTCTGTGAGACTCTGCGAGGGAAGCCGATTTAGAGTACATGCACAGGCAAATCGCCCCCAAGCATGTCCGGAAACTGCAAGTCGGGACCATTTTGGCTCCACTCAGGATCTTCGCCCCCTCGGTCAGGCCAGAGGGCCAGCCGAGCCTCCATTTCGTCCGCAGAATGGGGTGAGGAAACTGACTAATTACTCGCTCTGGACCTGATAGCGCAAGACCCCCTTATGATTCCAATCTTCTTTGGAGATTCATAAAGGCCCTGGACTCTGAAATTCTCAGCCGCCCAGGCTCGGAAAAGCAGATCCCACGAAAAACGTTGAATGGGGCAGCCCGCGGTAGCACAACAAAAACCACACCAATTGGAGTTACACGGCACGGTCCTCACAAATACTTTGCACGCGAATCGCGTACCCTTAGAAAGAGTTTTCACCAAAGGTGACAGACATCAGGTCCGGGCAGCTCTGGCTTCTCTTGCAGCATATCCTGGCAAAAGCAAAATGGGTCGAAGCGCTCTCGCACACTCACAGACTGGATGCCCATGCACAGCACTGTCACCCATCCACCCGCGCCAATCACCAAGCCATGACCTGCTTCATCCAACTCTGAACCCAAAACGGTATTTGCGGCATTACCCTATGAAGATTCCACATAAACAACGTGCGCACTCCGCTCACGAGCCTCCTTTCGGCGCTCACCACCTGGCGCTTGAAAAGGCGGGTGATCTGCTAGCATTCCTAAATCATTTCTTTGGAGTCGATGTTTGCGCAGTCTTGGAACCAAGTTCTTGCAACGGCACAGGAGGAATAGCAAAGTGCTTGGGGACAGAAACTCTGAAGAGTCCTCGCTGCCACCGATTGATGAACGTCTATCCTGCAATATCCTGCAGTATCCTGCACTTCAGGCGGTGCACCTCGGACGCTTTGGCCCAAGAGTACCGGTTCGCGCAACCTTCCAGGTGAAGACCATGGAGTTCGGCAGGTGCTTGTACGACTTTTTGAAGTGGCATGGAATCCCCTGGTTAACTTATCCGACTTCTCTCAAACTCGGCCCCCCGCTGTGGCTGGCACTCCTGTTCACGTTGGGGAAGGGGGGCATTAATTACATAATGGTAAGTGAAGATTATGTCCGACCACTTCGAACCGCACATCGCCTGCATCCCCACTTGCACCCATCATATTCGCATCTCCGACATTCCAAGATCTCATCGGTACGTGGGTGCCCCATGAGGGTGCATCCACTCCTCATGTCACTACTTGTGCCCTTGCCCTCGATGCATCTGCGTATCCCTCCTGCAGCTGCTGTCTGACACCTTTGGAAAACTAGCTCCGCATGCTCAGTCGGTAAAGCCAAGGCTCTTAATCTGTTAGGTGAGTCTAACCCAGGATTCCTAAATGAAAAACTTGCCCGCTTATCCAAAGTAACGCATGCTAACGATGGAAGAAGACTGGTTGCTTCGGGTCGTACCCCTTCACGACAGGAGCTGCCTACACCTCGTTGCGGTAGGATAACAAAAAGGGGCGACGCTGAAGACCGGCCTCCACTTCCTCCTCCTGCTTCTCTGAAGTTTCTTCTGCATCCTCTGAAGCACCAATCTTGCGACACTGCCACAAAAAAGCAATCACTCTCTGCTTTCGAATGTCATCCACATAGATCGATCTCATGGTCCCGAAAAGCAACCCAAAAGATCAAACAGAAGTAACGGCGCAGTGCGCGTGCAAACGGGGACCGCTAACTGAAGCCTGCCACTTGCCCCGCTTGCCCCAGTTGCTTTGGTTCCTTACCGAAAACCCACTTGCCCCACTTGCCCTGCCTTAACCGCTAAGTGATTTCTGCCACTTGCCCCACTTGCCCCACTTGCCCCACTTGCCTCCTCCGCTCCCCTGACTTCCCCGCCCCGACACACCCTTCGCCCCTCTCCCCACCAGCCCACCCTAAGTGAGGCAAGTGAGGCAAGTGAGGCAAGTGGGGCAAGTGGGGCCAGTGGGCAGCCCCTCCAACCTCCCCACTCCCTCCCAATTCCCCCCCCCCCCCTCCTTCCCCTCACCCCCCAGCCCCCCCCCTCTTCCCCTCTCTTTCTTCTCTCCCCCAAAACGGGTTCCTTTACGGCCTGAGAAGTCTGCCTCAAATCGGGCTTTTTAGAGGCGGACTTGTTGTGCCTCCCTGGGTTATAAAACCTTTCTTGTTTGTCTCTCCCCCCCCCTCCCTACTCCTTCCCCCCAAAATGGTTCCCCCCTGTGGCCTGACAAGTCTGCCTCAACATAGGGCTGTCTTTGAGGCAGACTTGTCGTGTTTCCTCAGCACTTTCCTTCCCGCGCCATGGTTTCCCGCCAGGATAATTTGTCTTGTTCGTGCTCTTCTTATCTTCTCCCCTCATTCCATTCCCCACTTGCGCCGCTTGCAGCGCTTGCACTGCTTGCCCCGCTTGCCCCACTTGCCCCACTTCCCCAAGCAGCAGAGATTTCCTGGGGTGGGGCAACATCAACTAGCTTTTCCGGGCCACCAAGTGGGGCAAGTGGGGCAAGTGGGGCAACATCAATTAGCTCTTCCAGAAAGGCAAGTGGGGCAAGTGGGGCAATTGTAATTATCGGGCCCCCTGGGCGCTCGCAATGTAACGGCGTGTGCTTGGACGACCTGTGAGCAAGCCAGGTTCCTTCCAGTTCTTGCGCAGCTTCCCAAGGGAGACCTTACCCTTGGATGAACATGCTGCCCCTTAGATAAAGGTAGGGTGAGCAGTCGACGTAGCAGCTCGGATACCGAACTTAGCCTTTGCAATATGAAAGGAAAATGAAGCTTGCGCGAAGGACAGGATCATCATCAGGCAGATTTTATAAGTGCTGTTTCGTAGCGATCTCCATGCTGGATCCGCGGAAAGTCTTGGCCATTATTCTGCCGCAGGCAACGACAACAATACACAGAAAATCCACAATAGCAGAACAAAAAAAACCTGCGAGCCGGACCCAGCCTCAACTCCTGCACGTAGCCAGCGGACCCACAGGGTGGAGCACTCAGTGGTGGCCAAATCGGCGAAGTAGGTGGCAACCTCCAACGCCAAGGCCTCTCAACCCAACTATGCACTTGGCACAGTCACACACCCACGCACCCACACCCCCACACACACCCACCTCTACAGCCACACGTCACACGCCCACACCCACACAGCCACAGCCACCCACACCCCCATGCAGCCACACCACCACACACCCACACCCACCCACACCCACCCACACCCACCCACGCACACCCACCCACACCCACCCACACCCACCCACACCCACCCACACCCACCCACACCCACACCCACACCCACACCCACCCACACCCACCCACACCCACACCCACACCCACACCCCACACCCCACACCCCACAAACACGCACGCGCGCACACACACACACAGAGACACAGAGGCCCAGAACCGCACATGAGTTTTCCTGTGGTCTCTTTGAAAAAAAAGCCCCGGAACCAATCGCGAACCATGTACGAGCCTTTCGTGTGGAACGGTAACCCTCTGAAAGAGCCCAGAACCGCACATGAGTTTTCCCGTGGTCTGGTAGCCCTTTGAATCAAAGGCCCCGGAACCACACGCGAACCACGTGCGAGCCTTTCATGTGGAATGGTAACCCTCTGAAAGGGCCCAGAACCACACATCAGGTTTCCTCTGGTCTGGTTGACCGTTGTGCAAAAACACCCCGGGACCACACGCGAACCATGGTAGTAACCCCCTGAAAGGACCAGAACCGCAAATGAGTTCTCCTGTGGTCTGGTAGCACCCCGGAACCATAAGCGAACCATGTGCCTTTCGTGTGGAATGGGAACCCTCTGAAAGGGCCAAGAGCCGCAAATGAGTTTTTTTGTGGTCTGGTAGCCCTTGCAAAAAAGGCCCCGGAACCACATGGCAACCCTCTGAAAGGGCCCAGAACCACTTGAGGTTTCCTCTGGTCTGGTTGACCGCTGTGCAAAAACAGCCCGGGACCACACGCGAACCATGTGAATGGAGTGGTAACCCCCTGAAAGGGCCAGAACAGCAAATGAGTTCTCCTGTGGTCTGGTAGCCCTTGCAAAAAAGGCCCCGGAACCATACGCGAACCATGTGCGAGCCTTTCGTGTGGAATGGGAACCCTGTGAAAGCGCCAAGAACCGCAAATGAGTTTTTTGCGGTCTGGTAGCCCTTGCAAAAAAGGCCCCGGAACCACACGCAAAACATGTGCGAGCCTTTCATGTGGAATGGCAACCTTCTGAAAGGGCCCGGAACCACACGTGAATACACATGAGTTTTCCCGTGGTCTGGTAGCTTTTTGTAAAAAGGCCCCGGAACCACACGCGAACCATGTGTGAGCCTTTCACGTGGAATGGTATCCCTCGGAAAGGGCCCAGAACCACACATGAATACACATGAGTTTTCCCGCGGTCTGGTAGCCCTTGGAAAAAAAGGCCCCGGAACCACACGCGAACCACGCGCCAGCCTTTCATGTGGAACGGTAACCCTCTGAATCCTCTGAAAGGGCCCAGAACCACACATCAGGTTTCCTCTGGTCTGGTTGACCGTTGTGCAAAAACACCCCGGGACCACACGCGAATCATGTGCGAGCCTTTCGTGTGGAATGGGAACCCCCTGAAAGGACCAGAGCCGCAAATGAGTTCTCCTGTGGTCTGGTAGCCCTTGCAAAAAAGGCCCCGGAACCATACGCGAACCATGTGCGAGCCTTTCGTGTGGAATGGGAACCCTCTGAAAGCGCCAAGAACCGCAAATGAGTTTTTTTGCGGTCTGGTAGCCCTTGCAAAAAAGGCCCCGGAACCACACGCGAAACATGTGCGAGCCTTTCATGTGGAATGGCAACCCTCTGAAAGAGCCCGGAACCACACATGAATACACATGAGCTTTCCCGTGGTCTGGTAGCTTTTTGAAAAAAGGCCCCGGAACCACACGCGAACCATGTGCGAGCCTTTCACGTGGAATGGTATCCCTCGGAAAGGGCCGAGAACCACACATGTTTTCCTGTGGTCTCGTAGCCCTTTGTAAAAAGGCCCCGGAACCACACGCGAACCACGTGTGAGCCTTTCGTGTGGAACGGTAACCCTTTGAAAGCGCCCAGAACCGCACACACATATACACAAGCACGCACAGAGGCACGCACAGAGGCACGCACAGAGGCACGCACAAGCACGCACAAGCACGCACAAGCATGCACAAGCAGCACAAGCACGCACAAGCACGCACAAGCACGCACAAGCACGCACAAGCACGCACAAGCACGCACAGGCACGCACAGAGGCACGCACAAGCACGCACAAGCACGCACAAGCATGCACAAGCAGCACAAGCATGCACAAGCAGCACAAGCACGCACAAGCACGCACAAGCACGCACAAGCACGCACAAGCACGTACAAGCACGCACAAGCACGCACAAGCACGCACAAGCACGCACAAAGCACGCACAAAGCACGCACAAGCACGCACAAGCACGCACAAGCACGCACAAGCACGCACAAGCACACACACACACACACACACACACACACACACACACACACACACACACACACACACACACACACACACACACACACACACACACACACACCCCCACACACACACACACACACACACACACACACAAACACACACACACACACACACACACACACACACACACACACACACACACACACACACACACACACACACACACACACACACACACACACACACAAGCAAGCAAGCAAGCAAGCAAGCAAGCAAGCAAGCAAGCAAGCAAGCAAGCAAGCAAGCAAGCAAGCAAGCACACACACACACACACACACAAGCACACACAAGCACACACAAGCACACACAAGCGCACACAGAGCAGAGCAGAGCAGAGCGGAGCAGAGCGGAGCAGAGCGGAGCAGAGCGGAGCACATGCACCTACTGCGCGCCTCGGACCAAGGAGCGCCCAACATGAGAAGGTGAAAGAAGGGCGAGTCAGCACGGCTTGCATCTCACCGCTGTGGCCTTGACCGCTGGGTCTTCCTCCGCCTTCTCGAACTCCTGTGATTCCTTTGTCGCATCCTCTCGACTCGCTTTTTCGCTGCTCGCGCTCGCTTCTTGGACAGGTGTCTGCTGTGCGTCCTCTGCTGCGCATCCTGCTGCCTGTGCCTTGGCTCTGGCTGCTTTGGCCGCTTTTACCATCTCCAACAACTTCCCAGCGGCTTCGAACAATGCCTCGGAGCCTGAAACTGCATCCTTTAGCTGCTGCTTCAGGCCGTCTCTCGGCTCCACGTCCTCCCTTGCGCGCTGGGCTTCACCAACGATCTTCAGCTCCTTTGCGACGAGGCTACGGCTACTCCCGGCTATGGGCCGTACACAAACTCCCTTAATAAGCTTGCAAGCAGCTCGCTGACTTGTTCCTGGGGATTTGCAACTACACTTCGGGACACCCATGTGCAAGTGACTGAACTCCGCATTTGGGGCCGCACCTGCACGGCCGTCTCTGACATCGCTGCGGAACCGCGCATGGCCTTCCCACTTCACAAAGGCTTTCTCCAAGATGCCAAGACAGCTTCAGCGACTGTTCTGGGCTCTTGCCGTGCCTCTGCCATGTCCGGCGATTGGCTTGGAACTGACGCTGGTCCTTCGCCATCAAGCTCCTTCGGAGGCGCCGTAATGTACGAATAATCCCTGGGCGAAGCGTCAAGGGCTTCGGTCACCAGACATGAGGTTAAGGTGTGACAGTGTGACGTCCTTTTGGCTCGGCTAAGTGTAGAAAATCTGTCACCTCCTCAAGGAAATGACAGGATATCTGTCCAAAATGTAAGGAAAATAGGGTTTTCCCTAGGAAAAACCAAGGAAAACCTAAGGGAAATGACAGGAAATCCGTCCAAAATGTAAAGAAAATAGGGCTTTCCCTATGAAAAAACAACCTAAGGAAAATCACAGAAAATCTGTCCAAAATGTAAGGAAAGTACGGCTTTTCCTGAAGAAAAGGCTGGATTCTTATGAGTGTAGACTTCACTCAGCTATGCAGAGTAATGAGATTGACTGACTGAAAGAACAAGCCATGTTTGTTGACTTGCGGCTTTCGTGTTTGCGACTCTGAGCTGTTTCGTGCTTTCTGACGCACGGGCTCGTGTTTACCAGCGGTTCTGATCTGCTCTGGGTTTGCTGACTGTTGCGCTGGTGTTTTTGAATTGCTGCCTGGGTGTTGTTGACTCTGGCCGTGGTCGTTTGCGACTGTTGCGTCCCTGTTTTCGACGCCTGTTTTGCTGACTGTTGCCCCTGTTTTCCGAATGTTGCTTCTCTCCAGTGTCGCATGTCCCCTCTCTTCGTGCCCGTATGTTTGATGAGGGCCCTGCGGGTTTGTCGCATGTCACCTCTCTTCGCGCTTGTAGGGTAGGGCTTGGTGATGGTCCTAGAAGTTTGTCGCGTGGCCCCTTTGGTGAGGCTCCTATAGAGGTTTGTCACACGTCCCCTCCCTAGGGCTTTGTGAGGGCCCTAGCGGTTTGTCGCACATCCCTCCCTTCGCGCGTTGCCTCCCTGCATGCTGGTAGGGTTTGTGTTTGGGGAGTAACTACTCTGAAATTCTCTGAATCTCGTTCTCAAAGCTCAGACTGCTGGGTTGCAAACGGTCTTCCAGCTCCTTCTCCAAGAGCCCGCGGACGATGCCCGGAGCTGCGAAGAATTGGCTGAGAGTTACTGACATCTTGCGAGTCCAAGGTTGAGCCAACTGCGGCTCACCCGCCTTGACAAAAGTCCGCGGCGGAAATGCCCGTGAGCACGTCCAGTGCTGCGCGGGCACGGGGGAGCCAGCTGAATCCAAGTAGGATCCAGCAGACTGCCCCCACACCCCAGGCGTCGTGACCTTCCTGTCCGCGACGCGTGCCCGCAATTTCTCACAACAGGCCCTGTAGTAGCCCGAGTCCATGACCGTAGAAGGCGACGCCCGCAGCACCTCCCTGGGCATGTAGCGGACATCACCACCCTGAGCGCGGCCCTTGTTCTTCTTATCGTTTTTGTTAAATATTGCTGCGCGTTCTTTCTGCCTAGGAGGTTTACGGCGGTTTTGGATGTGCCGCTCAGTTTCCGCATTCGCACTTTCGGGCTTGCCACTTCCACTCTTTTTTGTTGTAGGCTGGGGGTGCCCACAATGCCACTTTCTGCAAGGGTTTCGAAATCCATCTCGCCGCCCATCCAGAGTCCATGCAAGGCTTGCCTACCTTTAGAATTCTTTCTATGCCTTCAGAGCTGTGAAAGGGAAGCCTTTTGCAAGGGCCTCGGAACCACACGTGAAATATGTGATCCGACCTTTGTCTTTTGTGGAGTGGTAGCGCTTTGATTGAAAGAGCTCCGCAACCACGCACGAGTCCCTGCCGACCTGTGGAATGGGAGGCCTTTGAAAGGGCCCCGGAACCACACGCGACCTGCCGAGGTGTTTAGAACACAGCCCACGCCCCCCACCCCCACCCATACAGAAACCCCCCCGCACCCCCCGACCCCACCTCCGACCCCCAGAACACCACCTGTAGAAGGAGAGAGCCCGCTCCACCCCTAAACACCACTTTTCCCGACACAGCCCCCCCCCCCCCCGGCAGCCACACGCGATCCTCTGCCGACCTGTGGAGCGGTAGCCCTTTCATTGAAGAAGCCCCACAACCACACGCGAATCCCTGCTGATCCGTGGAACTGCAAGCCCTTTGAAAGGGCCCCCGAACCACACCGGCCCCTCTCCCCGCCACATTCTTTCTGGTATAAGGTTTGGGCTGACGGCAGTTGCCCTTTTGCTTCCTTGTTTCGGACTTCGCCTCTGCAAAAAAGGAGAGTGCAACAACACGTGCAACAAGCTGAAGCCCGGGCCATGTCGGCGCAGGTGCTTGTGGAACGGCACCTGCAGCCGAAGTCGGCCAGTTTGAGCCTTAGATGCTGGACCGTACTGGGGTGCACCTTTTGGTGGAGCTCCCCCAGGCCCAGACTTGCCCTCGACTCTGAGGACATTTTCGGGCTTGATGTCCCGGTGCAGGTAGCCCAAGGTGTGCAAATGGCACACCGCCTGCAGGAGCTGCCCAGCCTCGGAGAAACAAGGAAAGACGACGGGTCAGGTTTCAAGAGAGCTATAGGACAACGGCGTAGTTCCACAGCTGGACCTCGTCCTCCACCCGCGTTTGCGCAAGGTCGCCAAGGCACTTTTCCATGGCGACGTAGACCTGGGAGATCACCGAAGCTTTGATTTGAGTAACAACAGGAATTGTCGCGAGCAAGTGCCCAAAAGAGTCAATAGGCGCATAAGGCTTATAACTTCGATGAAGTTTGGTTGTGTCAAATACAACCTGATTGATAAACCTGATTATCCAAGTTGCAAGCATGCCAAGTGGGTTTATAAACGCACGACATACTTGCCAGTAAACTACAGATGCATGGGCAATTGCAAATGTTGGTGATCATTTAGAGCATTCATTACTTCTCACACGCATAGTAAGAGCATTTCATTACCTTACTTTTCATGCGCATGGTAAGTGTTTATGAACTGATATACAATGATTTGACAGTTGTGAAAAATCCTCGCTAAGTATGTATAAATGCCCCACGTGGCGTTTTTGAAATTTTCACGTGGGCCATTTTCTGTTTAAACGCGTTTCCATTTTTCAAACCATGTTTTCCGGTTGTTGAACCGCTGTTATATACCCGCGTGGCTCGCCCACGGGCATGTTTGAATTGCTGTTCTACCGCGTGCCTCGCTCACGGGTGCATGTGTATATGTATATGTATATGCATATGTGTATGTGTATGTATATGTACATGGATAAGTGTATAAGTGTAAAAGTGTATATGCATATGCGTATATGTGTATATGTGTCTATATATCTATATCTATATCTATATCTATGTCTATATCTATATCTGTATACAAAAAACATAAAACGCAATATAATTGTAAATATAAATATAAATATCAATATAAATAGAAATAGAAATATAAATAGAAATATATATATATAAATATAAATATAAGGTACCCCCCCCCCAAAGATCCACCTTTTTCTTTGTTTTTTCTCCTCTGTTGAGGTGTTGCTGCTGTGTTGTTACTTTGCTACTTTCCGTTTTTTATGTTTTAGTAGCCCCAACACATGATAATAAACAACACACGACACCATTACCTTTATTTACTTGACCGAGGCCCCGCGAATTTAAAACCGCATTTAAAAATTTAAGTTAAATGCGGAGACGTCCCTGCGCATTTAAAATTGCATTTAAAAATCTAAGTTAAATGCAGCCCAGCCCCATGAACCAAGATCCAAGAACCAAGATGCCCAGGACTCTTGATTCTGGAATCTTGGTTCCTGGGGCTGGGCTGCATTTTAAAAATGCATTTAAAAATTTAAGTTAAATGCAGCCCAGCCCCAGGAACCAAGAACCAAGAACCAAGATGCCCAGGACTCTTGATTCTGGAATCTCGGTTCCTGGGGCTGGTCCGCATTTAACTTAAATTTTTTAATGCAGTTTTAAATGCTTCCCAGGAACCAAGATTCAAGAATCAAGAGTCCTGGGCATCTTGGTTCTTGGTTCTTGGTTCCTGGGGCTGGTCCGTATTTGGCTTAAAGTTTTAAATGCAGTTTTAAATGCAGCCCCAGGAACCAAGAACCAAGAACCAAGATGCCCAGGACCCTTGATTCTGGAATCTTGGTTCCTGGGGCTGGTCCGCATTTAAAAATGCATTTAAAAATTTAAGTTAAATGCAGCCCAGCCCCAGGAACCAAGAACCAAGAACCAAGATGCCCAGGACTCTTGATTCTGGAATCTTGGTTCCTGGGGCTGGTCCGCATTTAACTTAAATTCTTAAATGCAGTCTTAAATGCAGCCCAGGAACCAAGATTCAAGAATCAAGAGTCCTGGGCATCTTGGTTCTTGGTTCTTGGTTCCTGGGGCTGGTCCGCATTTAACTTAAATTTTTAAATGCAGTTTTAAATGCAGCCCCAGGAACCAAGAACCAAGAACCAAGATGCCCAGGACTCTTGATTGTGGAATCTTGGTTCCTGGGGCTGGTCCGCATTTAACTCAAATTTTTAATGCAGTCTTAAATGCAGCCCCAGGAACCACGAACCAAGAATCAAGAGTCCTGAGGAACTGCGGGCTTATTCTCTAAAACCTATTGGTTTAAGGGTTTAGGGTTTCGAAGAGAAGCCCCGAAACTCTTTCGGGTTAAGCAATTAAACTCAAACCCTCAACTGTTAAACCCTTAAGGGTTTAGGGTTTCGAAGAGAAGCCCCGAAACTCTTTCGGGTTGAGCAATTAAACCCAAACCCTCAACTGTTAAACCCTATATGGTTAAGGTTTCAAGGCTTAGGGTTTAATATGTAGGCATTTACACATAAGCCGGCAATTAAACCTAAACCATTAAGCTTTGAACTATAGGTTTAACGTTTAAAGGTTTAGGGTTTAAGATTTATAGGCATTAAAACCTAAGCCCGTAGAGTCCAAACCTTAGGGTTTAAGGTTGAGGCATTCAAACCTTTTGGGGTCTGAACCCTAAAACCCTATAGGGCCCAACAAGGCTCAAAGGTTTTAACCCTTTAGGCGCTGAAGGCCTATATGCCCAGACCTTAGGTTTGTAAACCATTAAACCCTAGACGGCTTAGAGGTTTAGAGTTTTTTGCAGGATTTATCTCTAAAACCCTCACGAGCTGAACCCTATATGGTTAAAACCCTATAGGCTTAAGGTTTAGGCAGTACCTAGGAGTAGAACCTTATAACCCTGTGATTTAGGCATTTAAACCTACACCCATCTAGGTTTAAGGTTTAGGCATTCAAACCTTAGCCCTAAACTCTTTAGGGTTTGAAGCCTAAAACCCTATAGGGCCCAAAAAGGCTCAAAGGTTTTAACCCTATAGGAGCTGAAGGTATACATGCCCAGACCTTGGGTTTGTAAACCATTGAACCCTTTAGGGTTGAAAGGTTTAGGGTCTTTTCAGGGTTGATCTCCAAAACCGTCACGGGGTTGGCCCTATAGGGTTTAGACCCTATAGGGTTTACAGGTTTCGGGTTTAATGTATAGGCATTGTCTATAGGAGTAGAACCTTATAAACTTGGAGGGCTTGAGGCTTACATCCCTAAACTTCAAATCCCGTAGAGTTATGCCTATGTTTGCAGGGCTTGCCTCCTGTGAAAATGCAGAGAGAAAGTAGAAGAAGTACCCACCTCATGTATGTATATAGGGTATAAGTACTGTATATCAAACACAGATAATGGAGAAGGCATGGATGATGCGAAAACATCATCGGCTGTAAGTCCCGGGGATGCGAGAATACTGTGAGCAAATATCTTTTCACTATTCCCTGAGACCGCCTGAAGTTTTCTTTATAGATACTTTACAGTCGCATTTGTGGCTTTCAGGGTGCTTCAGGTGGTTGTGTGCTGTTATATCTTAATATAGCGAGGGTTCAGGGTGGTTTTGAGTGAAAGACTAGTGAAAGGGGTACGTACGCCAGAAGGGTTTGTTTAGATACTTTACTGATATATTTGTGCTTTTCAGGATGTTTCAGGTGGTTGTACGTCTCGCCAGGAGAAACGAGAAAAAATGCTACGGGAACTGTGTTGTCTATTGAAAGTCTCGGGGGGGGGGGGGGGGGTAGCAAATATAAATATAAATACAAATATAAATGAAAAATATAAATATGAATATGAATATGAAAACATGTGTGTATATATATATATGTATATATACATACACACACAGAGATATATATATATATATATGCTACCCCCCCCCCCGGGTTATCCACGCTTTTTTGTGGTTTTCCACGCTTTTTGTGGTTGCGAGCCAATTAGATCGCTCACGGGCCGCGGTGACCCCTGAACTCCCCCCCCTCCTCCAATAGCCCAATCCCCTACATAACGTAAATGCATGCAATCCTTGAGATGTCGAGTCCTCTCCATCTGTCCAAACACTGGGCACAGCGACCTTCTCCCCTCCCCTCCCTTCCGCTCCGCTGCGCTCCCTGGTTCTTGCAAAGGCTTTTTTTCAGGGCTAAATCTCTAAACCCCTATCGGTTCAGGTTTAAGTCTTATAAAAAGAGAGGCACTGAAACCCTATAGGGTTTAAGGCTTCAAGCCGATAGGGTTTAGGGTTAAACCTGAACCTGAACCTTTAGATCCATAGGGTTTCAAGGTTAAGCAATTACACCTAAACCCTTAACCTTTAATCCTATACGGTTAATAGGTTTGAAGATTTTAAGATCTAGGTATTTAAACCTAAGCCCATAGAGTTTAAACCTCAAGGGTTTACGGTTTAGGCATCTAAACCTGCACCCTTTAGGGTCAGAACCCTAAAAGCCTATAGGGCTCTACAAGGCTGAAAAGTTTTAACCGCATAGGCGCTGAAGGTATACATGCCCAGACCTTAGGTTTTCAAACCTTTAAATCCCATAAAGTCTAAAGGTTTAGGGTTTTTCAAGGTATCTCTAAAGCCCTCACGGGGCTAGCCCGATAGGGTTTAAACCCTATAGGCCTATAGGGTTCAACAGTTTAGGGCTTTAGGTTTAGGCACTGCCTATAGGATTAGAGCCTGAAAAACCCTATCAGGCTTGAGGCTTAATTCCCTAAACCTAAAATCCCACATGGTTTTGCCTCTGTTTATAGGGCTTGGTGGAGATGCAAAGAATAAGCAGAATAAGTACCCACACCATGTATCGGGTTCAAAAGTTTAGGGGTCTTAAAGGTTTATAAGCCCATGGAGATAAACCGTAAGGGCTTACGGCAATCTAAATCCCAAGCCCTTTTGGGTCAGAACCCTGAAAGCCTATGGGGCTCTTAAAGCCTCAAAGGTTGCAGCCCTATAGGCTTTGAAGGTATACATGCCCAGACCTTAGTTTTGTAAACCTTTAAATCCCAAAAAGTTCATCTCTAAAGCCCTCACGGGGTTAGCCCGATAGGGTTTAAACCCTATGTACCCTATAGGCCTATAGGGTTCACATGTTATGGTTTAAGGTTGAGGCATTACGGCTAGGATTAGAACCTTATAACCCTGTGTACGACTCACCTTTACGTACTATTTGATGGTTCTGTTTCCCCTGTTAAAGCTTCAAAGATTTTAAAGAATTTACAAAGACCCTTCAATTCTTGAAAACCCTGTAAACTCCTTAACATACTCTGGCTTTCAACTGTTTAAGGATGTTAAGGAATGTAAAAGGCCACTTAGATACTTTAAAATCCGTAAAAGTTTGAAAAAATCGACTATTTTGGGAAATGCCCGGCCCTTTGAATTTTTAAAATCCGTACATTCCTTCAAATCCTTGAAATTTTGAAACAAAATAGTTATTTTGGGAAACGGCCCGGCCCATTTAAATACTCTAACTATGGTTTCAGCACCTCTAGGGCTACAGCCTTCTAATCTTAATCCAGGGTCCCGAGTATTGAAGTTCAATACCCCGGATTGAACTTCAATACTTCGGGACCCTGGATTCAAGATCCCGGGGAAACTTTTCCCTGGAACCTTGAATCCTGAATCTTGAATC